CACACACACACACACACGCACACACACACACACACACACACACACACACACACACACACACACACACACCGATTCATCAGGGGTAAACACTCTTGCTCAAATATTACAAGGTTCCTGATGATAAGGCCCTGCTGTATCACATATTATTGCATGCAAATTCAGTAGGAAAAACTATGAACTAGTATGAAGAACATTTTTGCAGTTTCTACACTAGAACAGATCAGCACTGCATTGAGAGGGTTGAGAATAGCATGCGATACAGCAACTGCCAGCCAGGCCTAGCAAACGAGGACGTTGAAACATGACAAAAGCTAGATGCTGGCCGGGAGAGTCGGCTGCTGAACAGCCGCAAATCTGCACGGAAAAGAGTGCCGAAGGGACAAAATCAATGTGCAGGGGGATGGGACGAGAAGAAAAGAGAACCAAGAAAAGCATCAGAGATGGGAGAAAGACATGTCAAGCTCGCCCAACTCATGGTTGTGGGTTACGTACTCTTTGTTTCGGAATGCAAGCACACCCAACTCATTGTAGACCAAGGGGTCTAATGGGCAAATATTCCTCGCTTTTGCGAAAAACTAACATGACCACAATTGCAGACAAACGACGTCGACACAACAAGAGAGACAGACAGCCAAAACACAGAGCCCACAAGTTAAAAATCAGAGTGTCGTTCAAGAACACTTCGTCGAATTTTTTATAAAAAACTGAGAAGTCATGTGCAAGACATAACAGCATTCATTTCGAGAGAGAGAGAGTTGGGCCTAATCAAGCTTTTTGAAGCTCTAGGTTCCTGAAATATGCTGTACTAGGATTATGTCCGTACATGCCAGCATGAAGCAGATATGGTCGCGATGGGTTTGAACGTAGACATGACAGTTTTCATATTGAGTTTCTAGCCGTATAAACTCACCATCCGCACACTTGTTACATTCCCGCACCCATGACTCTCTCGGCCCAGAGATTCTGGTTCTGTTCACATCCTATAGGTATCCAGTCATTTGGGGCAGGAACAGTTCAACGGCAACACAACGGAGGAGCTGGATCACAAGAGTCGATGCCAAGGGTGGAACAACTGTGGGACAAGCGTACGGTAACTGAGGAACAGGTGTAGGACAAGTGTATGGCAAGAGTGGGACAGGTGTAGGATGGGTGTGAGACAAGTGTGGGACAAGGTGTGCGACAAGTGTGGAACAAATATGTGACAAGTCTGGGGGCATCACAAACATGTTACAGTAGGACACCTGTTGCACAAGCATGCGACAAGTGTGGGGGCATCACAGTAGGGCAACTCTGGGACTTTGGAGCAAGTGTGGGACAAGGGCGGGACAAGTGTGTTGGACAATTGTGAGAGGTGAGGCGAGTGTGAGACAAGGGTGTCATGTGCTCCAGCTGTGATTGCAAACACATGGCTGATCCCCGATAGTTTATTCCCCCGTACACGAGACCAAGTCATTATCGCTGTATTTAGTGCAACTTTCAGGCCAGATAGAGACAAAATGACAAGGATTTGCATTCTGGAGAAAAACGTAGCAGTCAAGTGGACCCAAGGCTCCGGTAAGCATATGGGAAGGAGGAGACGTGAGACGGTGAGATGATAAGCAGGTGTCTAACATATCAACAGCTCTCAGTCAGTCTCAATCCTGAGCCGATAAGCAGGTGTGTAACATACCAACAGCTATCAGTCAGTCTCAACAGAAAGTGTGTTATTTCTGAACGGGTAGCCGCTAACACTATTGTATATCTATCTGATTCCGTCAGAATTACAGCTCGGGATCCGCTCATCAATAGTTGTGTTCTGCAATTAAGCCACATGGGCTATAGACGCTGAACAAATACTTATTTTTTTGTGTGTTATTTCTGAAGGGGTAGCCGCTAACACTAGTGTATATCGATCTGATTCCGTCGGAATTCGAGCTCAGGATCTGCTTATCAATAGTTGTGTTCTGTAAAGCCACAAGAGTTATAAACCTTAGTATGTTGGACGGATAGATGCTGAGCAAAAACAGAATGCATGTTGACTCTAGTTCGACTCTATGGAATGACTTGAGAGGCGTAAGATAAGTGGGTACCTTCCATAATCATATGATTATATCATTACGACAATTTTTTTCTTTTCAAGACACAACCTCGCACCAGTCCTCAAAGATGATGTGGGAGCACAGCCAACGCTCACTGACACCATGGAAAAAAAAAGAGCAAACCTCTGAAACTGCAAATGACACACAAATATATGACATGAATCCACACAAAGAGCAGGCGAACAGGAAAGGACCAACCAAGCCAGAGGGAAACCAGAATACACAAGCACAATCTTCTTTTCCTTACCCTCTTTAATCAAGAGAAGACAAGAGAAAAACAGAGTTGCTACATAGTAAGTTTATACCCCGTCAAACCTGGACCGTCTCTCGATTTTTGCCTGACATCCTTGAGCAGGGGCGATGCTAATCTTCTCTGTATCGTTCCAATTTTACTGGATGTCCTGACAACCATACCCCTTCAATGTTCAAACCTCATTCGGGTTAAAACTTTAAAAAGTTCACTTGTGTAACAGGAGAACCGACAACCACAACGAACAGCCTCAGCAGAGAAGAGCAACATAGCTTTAACTCTGCTTCTCAAGAACAAAGACTCTCTCTCTCTCTCTCTCTCTCTCTCTCTCTCTCTCTCTCTCTCTCTCTCTCTCTCTCTCTCTTTGTGGGCAGACCAGGCGGGGGGATGGGTCCAGACTCCAGACACTCTGGACCAGACACCAGACCCGGACATCCAGACCTTCGGCAAGCCCTTTTTTCCCAATTTGAAATGGCAGTTATGAATAGGGACTATTTCTTGGTAAATGTGCACCGACAGAGTTTGGAATTGGGAAACAGACACTCACCTGCTCTGCCAAACTCAGATTATTTGTACGCTGGTACTCCATACCAATGCAAAGCGCTGGCAGATGACAGCTATCACAGACCAGACAAGTGTAGGATGTTATGGAACTTGGGTTTATGGTGTATTGACAGTAAGAAAATGGACAAGCAACAATCTGATTTTCTCTCTCTCTCTCTATATATATATATATATATCGTATATCGTCACAAACAGAACTGCCCGGTAAACCTTAGGCAGAGAGAGAGAAGAGGACAACAAACGAGGGGCTGTGACAAATATATATATATATATATATATATATATATATATATATATATANTATATATATATATATATATATATATATATATATCGTCACAAACAGAACTGCCCGGTAAACCGTAGGCATAGAGAGAGAAGAGGACAACAAACGAGGGGCTGTGACAAACTGTTTCGTCGGAGTTTCACCGACTCATATATATATATATATATATCGTATATATATATTTGTCACAGCCCCTCGTTCGTTGTATATATTTATATATATATATTGTCACACTGTGAATCGGAGTGCAAAGGCGGAAAAAGGCAAAACAAGGAAAGGAAAAGAAGGAAGGAAGGAAAGCCCCACCTGTTCATCACCTCTTACGTACAAGGCCAGCGACGCGGATGACAGGTTGAGCGCTGGCTGCCCCCATCCCCGTGTGTCACAAGGACCCACTTGCACGCAACCAAAAGACAAAGTGGTAAAGAAAAGGAGGAGGAAACCTCCTGACAGGGAAACAAAGCACGCAAGCAAATGACACATCCCACAGATAATCCAACTGTCACGAAGCAAATAACACATCCCACATATATATATATATATAGGCTTCCATATAATCTGTGGGATGTGTCATTTGCTTTGTCACGAAAGCTCCCACAGATATATATACATACATATATATTGTCACAAAGCAAATGACACATCCCACAGATAATCCAATTGTCACGAAGCAAATGGCATGCCCGGGTCCGCGGTTACCATGATACATATTACATATAGATGTATATGTAGCATAGTTGCGGCGCACCTCGGTGCGCGGATTTGCGCACGAATTGCGCACCACACGCAGCGCACCGCACAGCGCACCAAAGCGCAGCGCACTTGAAAAATTAGGTCCGAAAAAGAAAAAGAAAAAAAGTAGGGGTTTCATATTTTCTTAGGGCCCCCAACTCGGCAAAAATGTTAAACTCACCACGCAAGCTCGCAAACCAGCCGCGCCCACGGCGCAAACTTTTCTTTTGGGTAAGGGCTGCCGAAATTTCAATTTCCGCAGGCCCTTCCCCCAAAAGTTTTATTATAGCGAGGCACAAAATAGGGATCATTCCAACTTTTGTTTTAGCCGGGGTATGAAAGCTGTCCTGCCCGCTGCCTTCTGCAAATCCCACGCAGTAGTGGGTGAATTCGGAAGAAGGGTTAGTCGCCTACTAATGACCAGCCCCTCGAAATCTCGCAGAATTCACAAATTACATGTTCTATCGCCAGCCGACCACCAATATATGCTGAAGATTGGCATTCAGGTCCCCATGTCGGCAGTTATGGGTCAGGATGAAGATGCCCGTGGCTCTCTCGTTTTTTCGTTTTTGTTTTCTTACG